TTTGGGGTGGGTCTGTGGGGGGGGGTTGAGCCCTCCCAGCCCCAGCTCTTTCCCACCACATCCCTCTCCCCAGGCCCCAGGGGGAGGCTGAGGACCCTCTCCCCAACAGCAGAGCCCAGCCTGGAGCCCCTTCTCTCCAGGAGGACCTCACCAACTTCCAGGTGTTGACCTGGATCCTACCTGTGCTGCTGACCTTCATCCCTTACTGGCTGGTCTACCTCCACGTGAGGCGCAGGGGGGGGGGGTGGTGGGGGTGGTGGGGGGTCCCTCTGGGAGCTGGTGGTCCAGGAAGCCACCATCCTGCTGCCTTTCAGATGCAGTCAATGTATTACCTGCAAGGTCTGCAGCTCTCCATCCCCAGCACCTTCCAGCACGGCCAGGACCACACCAGCACCCTCCAGGGCTACATGGTGAGGGGTGGGGCCAGCAGCTCCATGGACCCCATGAGTTGGTGGTGTCCCATGAGGTTGTAGAATCATTTAGGTTGGAAAATACCTTTCACCTCCTCGAGCCCAACCCGCCCCCCATCCCTGCCAGGTCCCCACTGCCCCGTGTCCCTCACCCCACATCTCCACGGCTTGGAAACCCCTCCAGGGGTGGGGACTCCACCACTGCCCTGGGCAGCCTGGCACAGCCCTGGGCAACCCTCCAGGGCAAGAAATTGTTCCTTGTGTTCAACCTCAACCTCCCCTGGGGTGACTTGAGGCCCTTTTCCCCCCCTCCAGGCTCCTGTCAGGAGCTGTGCAGAGCCAGAAGGTCTCCCCTGAGCCTCCTTTGCTCCAGGCTCAGCACCCCCAGCTCCCTCAGCTGCTCCTCCCCACACTTGGGCTCTAGACCCTTCCCCAGCAGCTCCGTTGCCCTTCTCTGCCCACGCTCCAAACACACTGCGCTCCCCACCGCTGGCAACATCTGGGGCTCGGCCTGCCTCTGTCCCACAGTTCCCAGGTGCTTGGCTACCTCTGGCCAACACGGCGCTCTTGCTGGCCCTGGTGCCCTTGAAGGACCTCATCCTCGACCCCTTCCTAGCCAGGCACAAGCTGCTGCCCTCCCCCCTCAAGCAGATGACCTTGGGCATGTTCTTCAGCCTCACCTCCCTCCTCACAGCAGGTAGGACCCAGCCCGGGGCGGGATGGCCCCACGGGCAGATGTTTGGTGGGTTCTCAGCCCCCCGTCCCCCACCCCACAGGCCTCCTGGAGGGGCAGAGGCTGCACCACATGGGTCAGGACCCCACCGTGCCACCAGGCCTCAGCGAGAGCCAC